TGTATATATATATATATATATATATAAACATAGGTAAGAAATTGAGGAAAAAACTTATAATGCCCACAAGTCCAAAATAATATTCATTCATGTAGAACAAAACAGAAAATAATATAAACTTCAGTAATTGAAGCTTTTACTTCAAAAAGAAAATTAATTTGTGAAGTAAACTTCAAGATAATGTTACACAATTTGGTACTTATCTGTATAGCTTGACATGAACAAAAGTCAGAATATTTGTGTATTCAGTATTATTATGGCTTTTTGTTTTCGTTTTTATATACTTGTTTCAGTATATTATGATTTTTGAGCTTTACTGTCTGTAATATGTTTTTCTGTTTTGGTTGATTGTGTTTCTATCAATCATATGTTTAACATAGTTACTTCATATAAACTCATTCATGATAACCAAAGATACACATAGGATTCAAGAGGTTCATAAGTCTCATAAGTGAAACCCAATAATTCCAGTCATGTTTTCAAAAAATATATTTTCCACCATAAAGGGTAACTTAACAAAAAATATTTATCCTCTGAAAATGCTCAGGTTACCAGTGTGATGTCAATTGCTACAGTTCTTCATTTTTTCAATTACTGTTTCCCTTTAATGAAAAGTTCAAATTAGTCTCAACATTAAAGCTTTTAAACTGTTTTTAGAATATGTTAGTTTATATCCACATTCTCAAAATATATTTTTCTGAAACAACAACATATGAGATGTTTTTCATGACATTTAGATAGGAATATAACTAAGATGTGAGTAAATTTAATAGCAAGGTTGCAGAGTAGTTGCTCACACTTGCACGATATGTGTCAAAGGATTTTGACATGATTGAGTTTTTACTGTAGAGCCAACAGTTGTGTTGGACATCCCCACCTAAAATTTCAGCAAATTGCCAGTGTAGTGAAATATGTAGATTTAGTTCTAATTAACCAAGTATTATCATCAACATAATGCCTTGTTCAAGTTCAAAGTAAATTCGTTATTAGTACTACATCAATGTATAGGAGACGGCTTGAATGGGTAATGAAGAAAAACTTTAATACAACAGCAAATGTACAACGTTTCGACAAGGTTTTGTCATCATCCCCTGATGATGACAAACCCTTGTCGAAACGTTGTACATTTGCTGTTGTATTAAAGTTTTTCTTCATTACCCA